CAACTTGCCTTTAGCGGACTTTATTACAGTGTGTGTGTGTGTGTGTGTGAGAGAGAGAGAGATGTGTTACCCTTCACAGCACACTCCCTCTGGGATCCCAGAGCCCATTTACAAACCCTCTTCAAAAAATAGCTCACACACATTATCACTCTCTGAATGTGTGTGCACACACATGGCTACTCGAATACCATGTGTTTAAATATGTGCACAAATGTATATAGCTGCCAAAAGTCCCTCTGCTCTTATATAAGAAGCATGAGTTGTTCATCTCTCCAGGGTCCATTTGTCATGAAAAGAGGCCAATTCGTCATTTTGTCATGCCAATTCACTTGTTGAAGTAGGTTTTGATTGCTTGCATTTAAAACCAGCTACATATACTAGTCCAGTCCAATCATTCTAAAATGCTTTTTTTTTTTTTGCAAGGATGCATTTAGTTGATCAAAAGTGACAGTAAAGAAGACATTTATAGTGTTACAAAAGATTTCTACTTCAAGTAAATGCTGTTCTTTTGAACTTTCTATTCATCAAAAGGAATAAAAAATGTATTACACTATGTAGCACAACTGTTTTCAACATTAATAATAATCAGAAATGTTTCTTGAGCAGCAAATCAGCATATTAGAATGACTGCTGAAGGATCATGTGACACTGAAGACTGGAGTAACTATGCTGAAAAGCTTTGATCACAGGAATAAATTACATTGTAATATATATGGACAATATTATAAACGCAACACTTTTGTTTTTGCCCCCATTTTTCATGAGCTGAACTCAAAGATCTAAGACTTTTTCTATGTACACAAAAGGCCTATTTCTCTCAAATATTGTTCACAAATCTGTCTAAATCTGTGTTAGTGAGCACTTCTCCTTTGCCGAGATAATCCATCCACCTCACTGGTGTGGCATATCAAGATGCTGATTAGACAGCATGATTATTGCACAGGTGTGCCTTAGGCTGGCCACAATAAAAGGCCACTCTAAGGCCCTGTCCACACGGACACGGGTATTTTTATAACCGTGACTTTTTTTACGCGGTTCGGCCGTTCGTCCACACGAAAACGCACTGAAACCGAACATTTTTGAAAACCCCTGCCAGGGTGAGGATTTTCAGAAACGCCGGTTACAGTGTTGTCGTGTAGACAGTGAAACCGGGGTTTTTGCCTTGCGACGTCAGAGTGTGCGCCGTTATCCGCTGTGTTTGACGTCAGATTTGCGCTTCTGATTGGCCAACGTGGCTTTACGGTTAAGGTTTATATCGCCGCCTGCTGGCGTGGCATGCTCTTGATCGCGCTTGATAGCGTGTTTTTGCGTTTTCATGTAGACGGAGACCGAGCATGTGTGGACGGGATTTTTTTTTAAAACGCCGTAGGAAAAACTCCGGTTATAAAAATACCCGTGTCCGTGTGGACAAGGCCTAAAATGTGCAGTTTTATCACACAGCACAATGCACACAGTTTATATCTTTTTTTGTCTAGTAGAAGTTCTGAATGGCCGGTAACTTAAAAATTTAGTAGCCAAATTGGCCGGAGTAAATTAAAAGTTAGAATTAAAGTTAAAAGTTCATTTCAAACCCTTTTTTATATATATATATATATAAAAACAAAGATGTCTTTACAATTGTAATAATATTTCACAATATTACTGTTTATACTGTATTTTTGATCAAATACATGCAAGCCTTGGTGGGAATAAGAGATTTCTTTCAAAAACATAAAAAAATATGAAGTATTCCAAACTAATATATATATATTTATTGCTTATTCAGAAAATATCAGTAGCTCAGTATAATAATAAAAGTGAATGGAAAGTGGTGACTATGATAGTCAAAGAAAGGTGAGCACATGCTATTCTCCTTCCACATGTCCTGTTCATTTATTCCTCTCTTTCTTCCCTAAAACGCCTCCTCAAACCCTCACATAAACACGCTGTTCTAATTATCGTCTGTTTAAAACCCTTTCAATGGCCTAAAAGAGACAGTCAGACATCTACACCTGCTGCTTCAATCTCTCTAGTTCTCTCTATGTCACCTTTTCACCCTCTCAAGATGGAGCGGTTTGAATTAAAAACCAGGCAAACAAAGAAGCCCATTAAATTATGTTTGGAGAACTACGAAAGCACATACTAAATGACGTACAGAGAGGATTGGTCCTTGTGTGCGAGTCTTTTGGGAATACAGCGGGAATATATGCACACATCACATGAACACACACACGTTGAGTAGTATGATAATGTGATAGTCAGCCGTGAAGGTCAAGCTCACCTCTATGTCTGCGAAGGAGGGGAAAAAATCATCAAATAACACACTCAACAGCAACAACATGGAAATTGGGACCATTTGCTGGAATCGCCCCATGCATGCTTCATCATCAAACTCATGTTCATATTAAAGGAGTAGTTCACTTTTAAAAAAACTTTTGCTGATAATTTACTCACCCCCATGTCATCCAAGATGTCCATGTCTTTCTTTCTTCAGTCGAAAAGAAATTAAGGTTTTTGATGAAAACATTCCAGGATTTTTCTCCATATAATGCACTTTACTGGGCACCAAACGGTTCAAGGTCCAAAAGACAGTTTCAGTGCAAACTGCAAACTGTTCAAAGGGCTTTAAACGATTCCAGACGATGAATAAGGGTCTTATCAAGCGAAAAGATCGGTCATTTCAAAAATAAATAACAAAGTTTAAGTTTAATAATGTCAAATGCCCGCCTTGCTCTGTTCTGTGTAACTCTCCTGTTCGAACTCGTTCATCAAAATGAACAAATCTTTTTTCGAGTCATTTGATTCATTTAACGACCGAAATGAACGAATTGACTCGGAAAAAGATTTGTTCATTTTGATGAACGAGTTTGAACAGGAGAGTTACACAGAACAGAGTGAGGCGAGCATGTGAGCTTATAAAACTTAAACTTTGTTATTTATTTTTTAAATGAGCGATCGTTTTGCTTGATAAGACCCTTATTCATCGTCTGGTGTCATTTAAAACCATTTGAACAGTTTGCAGTTTGCACTGAAACTGTCTTTTGGACCTTGAACCGTTTGGTGCCCAGCAAAGTGCATTATATGGAGAAAAATCCTGGAATGTTTTCATCAAAAACCTTAATTTCTTTTCGACTGAAGAAAGAAAGACATGGACATCTTGGATGACATGGGGGTGAGTAAATTATCAGCAAAAGTTTTTTTAAAAGTGAACTAATCCTTTAACAAGTGCTTTTCATTCTTTGAAATGACTGTGGTCTGTAGAGAAGTGCTGCCATGCCGTGTGATAGTTAACATGTTAAACAAATGAAAGGTTATCAGCTGCGAAAAACACATGCCGAACTTCAGGAATTTCTGCCGCTGAATTTAAATACATCTAATTATTCTACACCACAACACTGCATATATTAATAACATTATTTTATAAAGTGATTTTACAAAGTACAGAAAAACATCAAAAATAACCACAAATAAAACAAAGCCTCCATAATACCAAAGTCAATTAAAAGCCATCCTGAAATAAAAAGTTAAGTTAAGATGGGATTTAAAAATACCCTGGGATTTGGCCTCCCTAATGTCAGCTGGAAGAGAATTCTACTACTGTCATCCACAGAGCGAAGTCGTGTTTAGGGACAGCCAAGAGACCACTCTGAGAAGAACGCAAATTACGCCTGGGCATATCAGGAATTAAAAGGTCCGCTAAATACTGTGGAGCTAAATCGTGGAGTACTTCATAGGTTAACATGAGTATTTTAAAAATCGACTTGGTACCTGACCAGGAGCCAGTTATGTGATCACCTACCTTAGCCCCAGTTAGGAAACAAGCTGCCGAGTTTTGCATATACTGTCATTTATTCAGAGTTGATTTCAAAACACCGACTAGTAGCGCATTACAAAAGTCAACAACAGAAGTTAATTAATCTTTCAGCGGTAGTAAAGGACAATACTGGACGTAAACGTGCAATATTTCTGAGATGAAAGTAGGATGTCTTAACAACACTGTACATAGGGTTCGAACATTAAACATGAGTCAAAAATGACTCTAAAATGGCTCTAAAAAAGAACCATCATTAGACAAAGAGATGGGGCTAGCACTATGCAAATATATAAAATCATTTAGATTTTTAGAAAATCATCAATGGATATTTATAAAATATTATGATAGATCAATAATTTAGCCAGCACTGCAAAAATATCAAGTGCGAAATTCAGCAATATTTAACAGTCAAGTGAGCACAGGACCTGTTGTCTTCTATATTGGTGCTGTGTGTAAATGAAGCACTAATGTTAACGTTTTGAGTACATATAATATTAGATAGTTACATAATAGCTTTAATATACATAAAGCCTATAATATTACATAGGCATAAAACGCATTAGCATTCTGATTCAACGACTTGTAGATGACCCTGTATACTTCACTCTTCCTCTACTTCTTCTGAATCAGTTTACTGGTTCATCAGCACGGACACGTTTAATTTATCAAAAGGCGCAGTAAAGACATTTATAATGTTTCAAAAGATTTCTATCTCAAATAAATGTTGTTCTGTTGAACTTTCTATTCATCAAAAAATACAAAAACAATCTATTTCCCTATTTCTATTCACACAAAAATAATGTATTACATAAATATTAAGCAGCACAACTGTTTTCAACATTGATAATAATCAGAAATATTTCTTGAGCATCAAATCATCATGTTAGAGTGATTTCTGAAGGATCATGTGACACTGAAGACTGGAGTAATGATGCTGGAAAATTCAACTTTGCTTCACAGGAATAAATTAAATTTTAATATATATTAACATTCAAATCAGTTATTTTAAATTGTAATACTTTTTCACAATATTACTGTTTTTACAGTATTTTTGATCACATAAATGCAGCCTTGGTGAGCAGAAGAGACTTCTTTCAAAAAATCGTACCGACCACAAACTTTTGAACTTTAGTGTAAGTGACCAGTTGGGTGTAACCTCTTATATGAGACGACACAATTAAAAAAAAAAACTTTTAGTTGTACTCACTTTGGGAAACTGTTTTACAGGGATCAAAATCTTCTGTCCCAGTTTCATGTTCTTGTTGATGACCACATCGATGAACTTCTCATCCTCTTTGTCTTCATCTTTCTGAATCTTTTCAATTTCTGTTGAGAGAGAAAGACAGCGAGAGTTAGTCAAATCGTTATCTATGTAAAATGAATGTTTATCAGAGTGAATCCCAGGTTCAGATAAGCCCAGATAAAAGTCCTGCCATTTGCCCGATGTCATTTGTACCAAGCGTATTTTGACTGATCAGTGGACTGTGAAATAGCTTCCATTGGCCATGCTGTAATTCGATTGGATGTGCTTATAATCATATCTGATAGATATTTCTCTGTGATTGGAGGATATTTCTGTCTTTGTGGCAAATGACGTCTGATTAGACATTAAAGTGTGTAAATGAGCTCTTCGAGGACGCACAGAAGTCTTTGTTGTGGGACACAGTGGGGTGCTGATATATTAGTCACATTAATGAGTTATTGTATGTGTGGCTCGTAGTATCACCGTGGGTACTCATAATACATTGCATTGAGACAGAGTTGGTTCATTGAGGTACTTAGCAAAAAACAATATGGAAAATGTTGTTAGACGGCGACAAGCAGATAGGAACATAAAACATCAAACTGTAAATTTGAGTTCACATGATCAGGACAGTAGGTACAATGGTTAAATTGCTCAATCAACAGCAAGATTTATCTTGTGCAAACAAACAGCCAGAAACAATTTTGCTCGTCCTATTTTTAACCATGATTTCACATTGAATTTGACAGTACAGTTGTAATGTTTAAGTGAAAATACTCTATGGCTGACCTGATTTATGGATCAGAACATATTGATTTCAGTTAGAATTGTGTGTTCACAAATATTTATCACAAAAATAAAGGGCTGTGAAAAAATATTTAAGCAAACCTTAAGAAAGTCCTCTCAAGTTGGCACAATACAACTTAATTCTCATCCCATTGCATTATACCAGCGTTTCTATATCAAAAGCTTGGCTTATGAATATTAATAGGTTTCTGTAACAATTAATAATTAATTATGAGATAAGTCATCAAAAGAATTCAACAGTGCCCATCCACTGTATCATCGGCCTTGGTTCTGGAAGGTTTTTTTTTTGTTTCATTTTCCCCATGAAAATAAGCCATGAACCAAACCAACTGGTGAATTGTTACAGTATGTTACAAACTTTGATTTGAAGCAAAAAGGTATTTGAAAACTGTACAAAAGTCAAAGGTACAAGACTGTGTACGAACCATGAAGTATTGTGAATTACAGCAGAGAATTTCAAAACTATTGATTTAAAGGGGTCATATAATGGTACATGCACTTTTTCAAGTTGATTGTACTGAAATGTGTGTTGGCAGTGCCTGTACACAACCATCATATAATGATAAAAATCTATCTAGTGTTTTTGTTTTAATCTCCTTATATGTTTTCCCCTGCCTCAAATTGAGCCGTTCGTTTTTGTGACGTCAATAAAACGGACGCCCCTCCCACGATTGTTGATTGACAGCAGCGTTTCAACACAGACCCGCCCTGAGCGAGCTGTCATCATAGTCCGTCATTGTTGATACGCTGGAGCAGAATGGCTTCTAAGCGATTGTGGTGTTCTGTTCTTGGGTGCAATAACAAACACAGTCATTTTGATGTTCCTAAATCCGAACCGCTGAAGACACAGTGGCTGAGTTTTGTTTTCGAAGGGAAGATTCCCCACGAGCAACGTCAATGCTTTCATCTTTGCGCGAATCATTTCTCACCAGACTGCTTTATAAACAAGGGTCAGACTCAGTATAAAGCTGGTTTTGCTAAGAAGCTGCTCCTGAAAAAAGAATCGGTACTAACTATTTATGTCCCTGCTGCACCTCCAGAAGAAGTGAGTGTAAAATTGTATATTTTCTATTAATCTTTGCAAATCGCTTGTACGCTTCACGACGAATGTGGCTAAGGTTTACACTCAGGGTACATTACGGCATGTTCGACGTCCTCAATATAATTCATAATCCCACGTTTATAATGAACAATGCGTTATGGTTACTGTGTTATTACAAACTGAGTGCGTATATATCAGTAAACACATAGCGTTCGTACATCTCACTAAGTTACTCTACCCTGCCAGTACACAAAGATAGATCAAAGTGACATTACGTTAACCAACCATTCAGAAATGTCCTGTTCAAGCCTTAATTATCGAACTTCTTTGCGGCCGTCATCTTGTTCCGGGTGCGACTCCGGTTCAAACTGATACGGTCGCACAGATGTGTCCTCAGAGACTCCCGCTGTGTTCGTTGTGTCAAAAGTCAAAACGCCAGCAGAACAGAGGGGCGGAGTGAGCGACGCTCATTATCATTTAAAGGCATATGCACTGAAACGGCGTGCTGAAAACAGAGCTGTTTTTGACCAGGTAAAACTAGTGTTTTCTTACAATACTAATGAGAATTTTTAATTAAAGTATATTACAAACTTTTCATTTAGACCCTAAAGAATCAAATTAACTTGTATGAAAATGGCATTATATGACCCCTTTAAAGAAAATGTAGTCTAAACCAAAAAGTAATACCCATAGGCATGACGTAGAAGACTGGTGGTTGTTCTTTTTTGAGGCTTAGGCCATTACTAAACAGAGCAAATTAGCGTGCGAGTGCAATTCCCAAAAACTTGGATGGGAGTGGAAGGTTCTGCACGTGATCTACTGACGGCACACAAATAAAAGAACACAGACGCAGCCGGATCATTTCCATAATGACCAACGCAATCTACCAAGAGCAGCGCAAATTTGCGTCTGGTTTAAGACATGCTTTTTTTTTAATAATGCGGTAAATAATGCCGCAAATAATGCCGCAAATACCAGTAAATTGTCTAGCGCAAACCTTAGTAAATCACTTTGCATTATTCATTTAAATACTGTTTGCCCATAATTTTAGCATAAATGCATATGCAATAAGGTCAGCTTGAAAAATATCTGTCCACACCTTTTCAGCGCAAATTTTTCTTTAGTAAATCCTGACAGTATTTTTTTTAACACCAAAATAGGGTTTGCACTGGCGCAAGCTGTTAGTAAATCTAGCCCTTAGTTTGTATAGTAGTTTTAAGTCTCACAGGAGGCACACCAAGTAACATGGTGCCCCATGTTGGGCGCCATGTTACCGGGTGAGTATTTTATTGTTTAGGCTAGATTTGACTATCCTTACCCTACCTGAATAATTTTTTGGTTTAGATAAAAGGGTGTAAGATAAAAAAGACACACCAAGTAACAATATAGGGAGTCTATTATGTCACTTTTAATGACTCACTGAATTGAGTCAAAATCGGTTTCTTACTTCCCAAAACTTATCCAGTAAACCCATGTCCATTAACTCTGAATGATATTTAGAGCACTTTAAAACCGTTTAAATTATGAAAAGCACTTTTAAATGTTCTTTTCTACAATCTGTCATCTTGTGACGGTTATTGCGCTTTAATATTCAACCCTCTTTTCCATTATTTGTGCTTTGGTGTGGATAGTTTATGCAAAATTAAGACATCCTCCAATCCCTCGACTAATCAGGAAAGCATTTCTATTCAGACTGTTACAGAGAGTCATCAAAAATAAAACCGTTAACTATTCATTTTAGACCATGAATCTGAGGCCCATATGTGACCATTATTACAAACTAAACTGTACAGCGATAATATACGTTAGTATGTCATGACATTACAATTACTCAAAATTTAAATGACATGACTTAAATCAGATAAGACTTAATAAGATCACCCAATATGACCATGAACCATTTTGTTTTAATGTATTTCTTTAAATATGCATGAAGGATATTAATCTATATCTTTTCAAGATTAAAACTTTCAATATTTATTTTCATAAATATTAATCAGTGAATATACATGCTAGCATCGCATAGCATTATCCTTTACAATTTGGTTTCTAGGAGACTTTGATGTCAATCAAACAACTGCAAAGCTAATAGTTAACCACTAAATTTGAACATTTTCTAAGTTTGGACAGAACAACTACTTGATGCTAGAAATTTGACGTTGCCTAGTTAGAGTATGTCTCATCTGGATCTGTGCTTCATACTTTTTCATAAAACATCAAATTAGTTTATATGTATAGCTACGCCCAGAGCTGGTAAGAGAACAAATGCTGCCTCCTTCACTCCGCTTCCCAGGTCCACAGAGACAGAGGATTCAGTGACCTGTGGTTCATCTCATTGTTTCATGTCATTATTCCTGTAGTCGAGGGGCACAAAACACACCCGAGAGAATACTTGAAAAATATAAATTTCCCTCCTTAAATAACCAGCAGCCTTTACAGCAGAATCATCTCCATTCAGAAGAGTGTGACCTACTAACCAATCTAAGCTCTGGAACAATAGACCATCACATACTGTAGCACTTTATAGTAGTATATTGGAAAATTATTGAACTCATATATATATATATAAATAAAAAAGTTTAGTGCATTTTGCACCTGTTTAAACTAGATTGCGGGTGGTTGGTGAATAAGATTCTGGGGTTTGCGCTGAAATACAAAGTTATGAAGTGGCGCAGCTGTTTATTGTTTTGAGAAGATGGGGTCTCACCTTTTGTCTATAGCATGTCAGGATAATCTAATTTCCGTCCAAAGCTTCCAGTCTTTTGAAATGCATGTAGGGCAGTGTCATAGTATCGGAGCTCAGGTGGGGCAAAATGAATAGTACAAAGAAAAGAAATTTGGGCATTTCAATTTAAAATTCATAAGCTGGTATGATTTGTGGGATTATGGCGGACTCCCTCTTAAGACTCCAACAGAGGAGAGCCAAAAAAACGCTCCATTAACTCCTCAAATTATACTTTCTGCTTACAAAACGCGGCAGAAAGAGGAGATTGGCAAAAACATTTCAAAGAGAGGCTCTTGGAGATTTGAAAATGCTCAGGAAACCAATCATTCTAAGCAAGAAGAATGAAGAATTGATTTTTCATATACAAATAAATGAGTATACTCTTCTAAAGGTAGCATGTGTTACATGTAAATTACAAAAATGTATATGTTAAACAATTTGTTTTACAAATAATATATAGCATGTGGAAATTAGTTCGCTGTCCTATCGCTTATTGAAACTAACGCTGC